AACCAAAATTTCGGTCGTGCTAGGAACGATTAAAAAATGGAAAAAAATACCCCAAAAAATACTTTGACCTTTCCTCTTAATAATAACAAACATTTAGACGATAAAATTTTGTTTTTGTCAAGTTTGGCGTCTTTTTCATCATGCTATGCTCTTTTTTTAGCGATCTCGTGGAGGTACCTAAATAAAATAAATATACCACACCTTAAAATATATTACTAATATATATATATATATATATAAAAAAATAAAAGGCTTAAACACTAATATTCCATAGTCATAATTTATTCCATTGGAATTTAAATACGATCCAATTCAAATATATATATATATATATATATATGCATGTATGTATATATATTTTGCATATGTATGTGTATATTTACCACTAATATTATTATTATTTATATATATATATATATATATATATAGGATGATTGAAAAGTAACTTCCCATTTAAAAATACTTATAATTTATTTATTAACTATAAGAAATGAATATGAGAGGAAAGCGTTTAGCATAGGTTTTATTTAAAATTTGACATGGACACCAGATTTCAGGAATTGCGTTAACTGATTTCACCAGGAACTCTAGTGGGATAGAAGACATAACTTCTTGTATTCGCCCTTCAAGTTCTTCCAAAGTCTTTGGTTTGGTATGGTAGACTTTCTCCTTTAACCAACCCTAAAGAAAAAAGTCATAGGGTCAGGACTCCTAGCTGGACACTGATATGGACCTTGACAACCCATCCATCTCCCTGGAAAGTGGGCATTCAGTCATTCACAAACAACAGTAACAAAATGTGGAGGGGGAAACCATCTTGCATGAAAATCAAATCTTCTTCATTCTTCCAAGCACTGATAACTGGCAAGATTTCATCTTTGCAGCATGGTAACGTATCTTTTGGCATTCATGGTATCCTGAAGAAAGAGTGGGACCCACAATCCTGTCTGAAGTCATTCCACAACACAGTTACTTTGGGCTGATTCTGCATTTTTTTTAGAGATAACAAGAGGATCTTCGCTTGCCTAATAATGGCAGTTGTGATGGTTCACAAACCCACTGATGTGAAATGCCACCTCATCACTTCAGATCTGTCCAATCTTTATACCAAACCAGCATATTATCCTTAAACTCTATGTGAATGTCAGTTTTCAGCAGTGAGTGATTGGCAGTAGTATGACTTTCAAGCATGTCATTTATCCTCCTTAAGCACAGTTCGTATTGTGCGAAAGGAGAGCCAACTTATTGAATTGGCTATTTTTTTACCTGGTGTTTTGCGACATATTTTTTGTACGATAATTTTTATAACTTGGAAATAAATTTGAGAATAATCAAAATTAATTGTGAAATCCAGCTAAAGTCACACATTAAATAAAAATAATTGTTTGTACAGAAAGTAAGGACCTACGTACATCAAATTGTCTTTAAATTAAGTGGCCACAGAATAATTATTGAACTTTTAAAAGGTAAGCTTAAATATTAATGCAATACTTAAATGCAGCAATCAATTTTGAGTTCTTCTATAGTTTATTGTTGCCTATTGCATCTACTTCCTGCCTATTGTGATGAAGGCCCAAAAAAGAGCCCTCCACAGGAGCAAGCTTAAATGCCGTACAATAGGACAGCTTTTAAGCTAATATATATTGTGTATTTAGGCAGTAATCCTTTTCATGCAAGCTTCATTAAATATGACAAGACAAGCTGCTTTGATTTTATACAATTTCTTATATGATCTTATCTTTTCCGTAGATAAATTATACAAAAACTGTCCAAAGGTTTTATTTTTCCAAGCACTTTTGGCTATGCCTTAAGCTATTATCAAGGAAGAATTATATTTACTGTTAACTGGAAATGCATTGTTGTGTTTATGTATTTAGTATTATAGAATGTTTTATTTTCAAAGCAATTTGTCTGTCATATTTAATGAAGCTTGCATATATATATATATGTGTGTATATATATATATATATATATATATATATATATATATATATATATATATATATATATGGTTAATACATTATAAAATTTGTCACTGAGCTGATGTTATTTTCAGTATCTTGACTAGAGTTCCGTAAACACACTTCAGCAATCGCTCCATCCACTCGTCATGAGATACCAGCAATTGACTTTATTTTCTCGTATTTCTTCACTTTTATATTAAGTTGAAAAATAACTTATGCACTTTTCATGGTGCAACGTTGAGTTTTTTTTTCTTCTATCATTGTGTGTGCATGTGCAGAATGTGGTTATTTCTCCTTTTTATTGGTTTTCTTGTCTCTTTATACTTTCTCCTTATTGCTTTTATACCTTTTTCTCACAAATATATATATATACAATGCTCCAACCGTTACTTGAGTTTCATGCTACTGTGATTGTCAAGTAACCAGAACATTTTTGTTGTTGCCTGATGAATGCAGTAACATCAAATTATCTGTCTTTGATTTTTTTTTTTTTTCTACATTTACCTTTGCCATTTTTTTATTTTTGTTGGCCACTTGCCTGGTTATATATATATATATATATATATATATATAAATTTGTGTATTTTGAGCAGCAATCCTCTTTTTTACCAAATTTCATTAAAAACAACTGACAAGATATTGCAGTTAAAGTGTTTTTTTCTGAATGTCGTGTTACTTTCTTTCCTTGTTGGTTGCCAGGTTATGTAATTTAATAATTGTGTATTTGGGAAGATACGTAAATACACAATTTTTAAATTACATAACCCGGCAGCCAACAAGGGAAATAACACTACAACATTCAGAAAAAAAAAACTTGTTTTAACTGCAGTACCTTGTCAGTTGTTTTTAATGAAACTTATAATAGTGCTGGTGGTAATTAAACCTTGGTCAAGGCAAAATAACAGCTAAAATGTATACCAATAATGGTAGGGAATTGTTATACTTGGGTGTTAACTCTCATTACTACCAGTTTGAAATTTAATTTACTCCCATGAACATAATAAATCCACATGTACTCAAAGCCTTAATTATAGACATGACTGCAAATAAATTTTTTAAAAAATATATAAAATTTTAAAAATGAGTCTTTCATATTCTGCTGTTGTTTGTAACAGATTTTTACCAAATTTTTAAAGCTTAGAAGCAGGCATCCAGATTTTATTAATGTCCAGTCTGATCAATTTTATGCTAGTAAAATAGCCAAGATCCAACTTGTATGAAAAATGGTTAATAAATAAGATTGTTCACTTTTTTGCTTTTTAAATTTTAACTTTGTGACCAGAGATTTGGTAAATAGCTGGACCAGTTTAGTCGGTTTTGTCTTTTACTTGAAAAAAATAAAATGGGCAGTCACCTCATTATCATTTATCAATGTGAACAAATTCCCAACCTTTTTGTACCTAATGTACTAATGTGACTACAAGTCACATATCCCCAAGATTTCTTTTTATTGGAAGTATTGTATAGTTTTAAAAGCAAGTTCAGGAATGAGATCTCATTGTGAATTATTTCAGTTACGATGAATATGTCCTTTTTGTTTTTCTTTCAATATAGATATAGTTTAGCTCCCCAAATTTCCTTGGGTGAATGTTGCATCCAATGACTTTCAAGTTAAAAAAAAAAACTCCATTTCATCTGGATTAATTGATTGATTTGTTTTTTTTTTATGACTTATCAACCTTTTGCAGGTTATTTAAAACCAGAAAAATATTTATAGATTGTAATAATTTTTTATAGATAATGATTTTTACTGCTACAAGTTCTACTAAATTAACCCGTAGCTGAGGGGAGAAGAGGTGGATTCATACCTTTTGCAAAAGTATTTGTGTGTAAATGAATATATATAACAAACTCAGCTGGACTTGGAAATCGGAGTTCCAATTCCAAGCTGTTATCCATTATGCCACCCACACATCCAAGATTGCAGCACCTGGTATTCCCAAGCAGTCACCCATACTGACCAAATTCAATACTGTGTTGCTTAACTTTGGTGATCTTATCTGGATATGCAGTTTAATTCACTTTTTTCTTCTGTTTTCTTCTACAAAATGTTTTTTTTTTTTTATACTAATGTTCACCCAATTAAGGCCCAAGGGACACTCAAGGTAGAGTATTACTGTGTGAAGTTGCATTAGTGTAGGAAAGGGTTAGATAACAGGAAAGACAGACAAATAATCCTAGATTGTTCTAGTTCCACTGCCTTGCCTCTTCCATATATCTATATAATTACAATATCTCATTTCAGAAATATAGACAGATATAGAAAGTAGATCAGTTATGAAATAACCATTTCCACTGGTTACATTGATTTTATAAATGAATTATAATAATCAGATGTGTGTTGGGGTTTTAATGGATATTAGCCCGGAATGAGAAATTGACGAGATGAGTTTGAATTCCAGTTGAATCTGTTAGTTTCACTTACGTGCAAATACCCTTGGGAAAGGTATGAATCCATCTCTTCTCCCTCCAGCTATGGGTTGAAAAGCAGGACAGACAGAATTCTATAGCCCTGGTTGGCAACCAGTCTAGTGCAAAAAGAATTAGCAACCTACTGTGAGAAAAACTTCAAATGCTCTCTTCCAGAATGCCTTGAGCCAGCATGGAAGAGTAGGCTCATGAAATTAACACAAGAATAATAACTCGTATTAATGAACAATCTCTGCAACAAGCAGAATAAGCGGTTTTTAAAAATAAAAAATATTAATCTTTATCTGGAATTGCCAGGTATACAATTTCTACTAATAGTTTCATCATTCTTATTACAAGTTGAAAGACCATAAAATGGGATTAGTTTACCATTGACCCAAACTATAAACCGTGCTGTTCTCATCTAGATTTCTTATTCTATTTACATAAAAGTTTGTTTTTTCGACTTGCCAAAAAAAATTAACACCTGTTAATATTTTTATAGGTTCCTAAATTTATAAATCCCCAATTTATAAAATTATTATGACTACAATAATCTAAATTTCTTCTGTTTACCTTTTTGCTGTTTTTGATTTTAATTCAATCTTCTGCTTTGTTTATTTACAGGATGAATCTAGTCTCTACATTGTCTTCGTTATCCTTTTATGTCTATTTGTTATTAAATTATACCGAAAAGTCCTCACAGGTAAGTTCCTTATTTCATTGTTATTTGCTTTCATACATACACTATAGTTCAAAATTTGTTTGAGGTGACTCCTGGTAATTTTTTAAATTGGCCCCAAAAGTAGTTATTTTGTACTTGAAATAAGAGAAAATTATTATGCATAGTTAAAAAAAAGTCAGGCATGATTCTTTATTACAAACTTTATTATGACAATAATTAAATTATGCTCTTGTCAAAATATCCTTCTTTAGCCTTGATTACTGCAGCACAAATTTTTGGCATTCATTGCAAAAGTTTCTCAAAGTATAAGTTTGATAATTGATTCCATTCTTTTTTCAATGACTCTAAGAGCTCTTCATTTTTTTTGTCAATCTTTTGTCAATTTCCTCACAGGCTAATTTTGGTGGCGGCTTCAAACTTTTGGACTGTAGTGTGTGTGTGTGTGTGTGTGTGTATATTTTAATACATTTTTATGTTTATACATTTTTTTTTTATAGATACAAATATTTAAGTAAATGCTCTGTTTATAATAAACAGTATTAACAACATTTACCAGCCTAAATGTCAAAATTATCATAGAAAATGTCGTCCTCGACAGAATCAAACCTGTATCCTATCGGAACCGTCATATAGCCTGACGTGCTTTTACTGATTTTGCCACAGAGGGCGTTCGGTTAGCAAGGTCAATTTTACTGTTTTTAAACTGCAATCTTTCATGATTGAGCAGATATGAATGTACATGAGAAAATCAGGGAAGATTGTAGTTTAAAACAGTAAAATCAACCTTGCTAACCTAACACTCCTCTGTGGCTTAAATCGGTAAAAAGCACGCCAGGCTATAAGGACGGTTCCAAGATAGGATACAGGTTTGATTCCTGTCGGAGAACACATTTTCTATGACAATTTCTTGGACATTCAGGCCAGTAAATATTGTTAATACTGTTTATTATAGACATAGCATTTACTTAAATATTTGTATCTATAAAAAAGAATGTATAAACATAAAAATGTCTTAAAATAATTGTTGGACTTTGTCCATTTCATATATATATATATAAAGCAACCAACCAATACTGAGCAAAATTTATTAGAAGTATATTAGCAATGTTTTAAAATGTATTTGACCAACATTTAATACCATTTGCATTTTTACCATCTCTGGTTAGATCCCTTATATTGTGGATGCTTGTTTACAAAAAACACTGTACCCTAGCTACAATGCTTAATTTTAAAATAATTATAACAGTGCATTCACATGTGTTTACAAAAATCATCATCACAATGATCACAGTTACATTAAACTTTAGAACACCACACAAACTTTCAAAGTTCTATCCCCTGGATCCACATTAATTTTGGGTGTGCTAAGTTTTTGAATGGTGGGTATATTTACTAGCACTGTAATTTTTAGGATTTTTGAGATATTGTTATAAAATGTTCAGGATATTTGCATGAAAGGATGTAGAAAAATGTAAACATATTTTTTACTGTACATATAAATTTTGAGAAAAAAAAACATGAAAACTAAGAAAAAAATATGACAGAATTGATGAAAAATGATTCCTACTCATCACATCATGAAAGCCTTGCATACATAAAAGGGGGTTTGTTGTCCAGTAAGACGAATATCAAGCCTCTAAACAAAATGAAGACCAAAAATGCTTTCATTTCTTCAAAGCAAACATTTTTCCAAGCTCTGATTTGCAAGTTGGGCTTTGCTGTGTCACCTAATTTTGTTTTCACATCATTTGCATACCAGTTAGTTTTCACTACCATTAATTAAATAACTTCATCAGATAAAAAAAGATGAAAAACGTCTACCTCATTAGCTTCTTGATCAACATTTGTACGTCCAGGGGTATAGGAAAACTTTCTAGTAGCCATAGGTGATGGTTCAAAAATTCCTCTTTCTTGGTTGGAATCACTTTTAGTCTCACTGTCACACACATCATCAATATCTGTGTGGGTAAATCCAAGAAATTCTTCTTTGTCACTCTCACTATCCATGAAAAGAGCCTCTGTCAATGTAACAGAGCCACGCCTTGCCCTGGGGGTCACCATTGTGATTGAAAAATTAAATGTTTTTAAAACACTTTATTAAAAATTATTATTAACACTTTATTAAAAATTATTTATTAAAACTGATAAAATAATTATTTCAATTAGAACAAAAAGACTGACATTCGGTCATTCCCAGTTCATATCACAAGCGTAATGATGTAATTTCCTTAGTAATAGGTTATTTTTAGAAATGTACTTTCCCTTTGAAACAAAGCTCTGTCACTTGGTAAACATGTTCGCCCAGAGAATATTGACAAAGAGTATCGCCGGCAGACATGTGCATTTGCAGAGTTGTAAAGGTTAAGGTTGTCTTTGCAATTCACCCTTGAGGATGATCTCAGAAGAGATCAAAAGTACTTAGGTTAACAAAAAACTACATCACCTTCTTTGATGAATGTCAACAACATCAAGAAGCTAATTAGAAAGGATTATTATAAAAATAGGCTTAATATGTCTATATTATTAAATGAAACATGCTTGAATGAAGATATGCTGCCTATATATATATATATATAAAAAATTAGATCTGTTGATTTCACTACCTTAGTTTCAACTTTACAGTATCCTCAGACGATTTTTATCAATTGATCTTCTAATGAAATTTTTTTTTAATAAAAAAAAAAAGCATTGAATGCTATATTATTTTAAAAATAAATAAACAAACATACATCATTAGGCATGATAGAAAGGGAGGAGGAGGCAGATGTGAATAAAGAAGAAGGGGAGGAAGAGAAAAGGGGGGGGATAATTGAAATGTACATATTTTTTTTAACCAGCCTCATATGAGCTTAAGAGTTATTTTTAACCTGTTAACCTTTTATGTGTATATATATATATATATATATATATATATATATATATATATATATATCCATTGATTTGTAATTGACATTCATTACTGGTCATGTTGCAAGGATGAGTAACGTCAGAATACCTAAGGTCCTCATGTGTAACCAGCTTGACAGTGAACGAAGGATTCTTGGACAGCTGTGGCTCGGGTATAAAGACAAGCTAAAGAGTAATCTCTCAGTTGTCAATGTGCTTCATACTAATTTCAAGAGAGTTGCCCTGGATAGAAATAACTGGAGATATTTGTGCCAGCGTGATATCAGAAATTTTGAAATCGGTCGTATTGACCAGTTAAGAGATGAAAGACAATGGCAAAATATGTCAGCAAATATTCCTGTTGCCATGTCCTAAGATCCTTGCTGCTGCTGCACAATATGTGGATTTGTATGCAGGTCACTAGTGGGAGTGAAGTGTCACATACGACACAAACATAAAAACTGAATGAGGTTGTCAGATCAGGCCTGATGATTGCAATTAGCATGAAACTGTCTGTTACCTCTGGGTGTTGACTTCAATGTACACTTTTATATTTGCATACACTCTATCCCTGATATCGAGCACTTTAACCCATAAATATAGCATACTTTAAAAGTGTGTGTGTGTGTGTATATATATATATATATCTCCATTGATTTGTAATCGACATTCATTATTCAAGTACACATTTATTGTTATGCTCTTGTAAGTTTTATTTGAGTGAAACAGAAAAATCCTTTGCTTATTATTAATAATAATAAAAAAAGATCCATGCATTGAATAACCATTTGGAATTTCAAATGTATTTTATAATTGAAGAATAGATGATATATATTTTGCATATTTTAATAATTCAGTAGAAAAGAAATCCTTATTTATAATTCTAAGTAGAAGCTCATCTATTGATAAACCTGTGAAAACAAAAAACCTCATTGTCTTTTAATTTTCAATATATAATATATAGCAATAAGAGAGATTATTTTTTCATCATTTCAGAGTCTGTGTTGTTCCTCACTGCAATGGGTGTCCAAATTGAGACCAGATTTTTGCTGGGATATTGTACAACCAGATTTATTGATATGGCCAACATCAAAGATATTGTCATTTTAGAAGCTGTTAATATGGTTAGTGCTTACTTTATCAACTCTGCAGAATTATTGCAAAGTCTTTACTGTATACTTTTTGTCAAAGACAGAAAATCTTCAATATTCATGAAATAATATTCTGTTAATATTCTTCATTCATTCTACTGTTGTTGTTACTTTTTGTATTTGCTTTTAAAATTTCATGTTTTAGTTATTTTTTATAACAAAATAATTATTTTAAAATTTCATGTTTTAGTTATTTTTCATAACAAAATATTAATTATTTTAAAATTTCATGTTTTAGTTATTTTCATAACAAAATATTGGGTTGGAACCAAAAAATGATAGCATTTTTCAATAGGTGGTGTTTGAGCATTTATTAGAGTGAAGTACCTGGAAAAAAATCTATTAGAGTAGGCACCTCCACTTTTGCTAAAAAAGAGCATACTATGATGAAAAATGGCCCCAAACTTGATGAAAACAAAATTTTATCATCAAATTGTTTGTTATTATTGAGATGAAAGACCAAAGTAATCTTTAATTATTTTCTTAAATTTTTTAATCATTTCTAGCACGTGAAATTTTGGTTAAAATTTTTTTTTTGAATCAGTACTATTTGTATTTTAGCACTTTTTTTTCGTAAAAAACACATTGATTTGGAAATACTTGCAAAAATCAAATTGTTGAATTTTAATGTTATTTTCAGAACATATTCCCAAATGAATGAAATTATTTTTGAAATATTTCTTTAGGAAATCTTGGCCAAAATATATATTTTTTTACAGCTGTTATCCCCACTTACTTAATTTTATGAAATTTTGAGAAATTAAATTTTGATCGCAAATTTTTTTTTATTAATTAAAACAGAACTCTTTGGGGAATGTAAATCATCATTTTTTTTTTTTTTTCAAATATTTACTCATTTCCTGAAAATCCAATCTGAATTGTAAAATAAAAATGCAATAAAATTATGACATTATTTAATTAGAAAAGCTTTTAATTGCTTTTTGAATAAGATTTATATATAAAGGACACTGTTGTTTCAAGAAAAAATGTTTTTGATAAATAGTGAATTTTTAGAAGAATTGTTTTAATTTTGGTTATAATAATTTTATAAAGTTTCAACTCTTTAAATTTCTGCATTACTTTGGTCGTGTTATGTGATATTAAAGGAAAACTATATTTACTAATCAAAAATTGAAAAGCTTAATACAAATTATTAAACACCAAGATTTTGACCATAAGCAACATTATCAAAAAATAAGAGCGATAACTATATTTAATTTAAAGCTGAAATTTCTAAAATTCAGTAAAACATTAGCTTACGGAGAATATTTTCCTAAATTTCTAAGATTAATGAGTATTTAAAAATTATATAAAAAAAAAAAGGTGCTCACATATATATAAATGTCATCTTTGAAATTTACTTAAAAAAATACTACAAATTTTTGTTATTGACCTAATATATGTGAAAGTGATTTTATAAAAATACAATTTTTTTTTTTCTTCTTAAGGCCTTGTGCATCTGATTAAAAATATTTTTAAAAACCTCTTTAAAAAGAATTTCTATAATAACAGAGTGAAAATTGTGCATCCAATAATTTTGATTATTAAATTTTCTTTTTTTTTATTGTGACAGCATCACATAATTTTTTACCTGGCTCTGCTTCTACAAAAAAAAGAGAAACAACTAACTGGAGTTCTTCCTCTCTTCACTGTGAGTTTTTACTTATTTTACAAGGTATTTCAAAGGTTAGCTTCAGAAGTGGGGTGGGGGAGATTTAGTTGAAAAGTTCTCTGCCTGACCAACTTCTCAAAATCTTAGCAATTATGTGATATTTTGGGAGAATTTCTTGCTGAGAGCTTTTCAGTATCTTCTCATATGCGCACACACACATTTTTTATCATTTTACCCCAAGCAAAGCGATAATGCCACTAAGACACAAGGGGTTACTGGGAGTGAAAGAAAATGAGAAAACTTTAGAAAGAACTGGAAACCCAATCCTAAACAAGAGATAAACCTTTACTGCTGTTCAAGAGATGGGGGGAAAAGTGTGAATCAGGTGATAGGTGAACATATCTACTTCTATTATAATCTAGATCAATAGTTCTTAACTTTGTTGAAGGTACTGAACCCTGGAAGTTTCATCTGTGCATTCATAGGATTTATTCAAAATATAGGTCTATATTTTTTATTAGTGCACAAATGAAGCAGGCATCAGTTATACACAGTCACTATGTTCAAAGAACTAAACCAACAAACCATAACTTTCACACAAAAACAAAAACATAACTCAATGAATATTTACTGCAAATCAATATGACTTTTGCCGTTGCCTTTCAGAGACAAGTTCAGAAATGTGTGGCTTCACCATCATTTTTGCAACAAAGTCTGTTCCTTTTCTTAGTTTTCATGTCTACCATCCTCGAAAAGGATTACTTGCAAAGATACATTGTAACAAATGGTATGGGTATCTCAAGGTCTTTCTTAACAATAAAAAGGTACGCTATGATTTGGTAACACCAAAACATTGAGGGTATTGTTGTTCTGAAGAGTTTCTGTTGAACCTGACTCTGACAAAGTTCAATGATTTCGTCGAGGTATTCATCATTGACATCTGCTGCTGCAACCTGAATGGCTGTATCACTCATGGTGGATATAACTCTCTGGGGGGAAGTATCCGCCAAGAGACATTGCGAGCTCATCTAAGTACATAGCAATTGCTTGCTTTAGTTCCCCAGGGACAGACATGTCTCCGATTTCAGACACATCTTTGATCTTACTTACATAGTCATCCAGCGGGGGAAAGTTTGCAAAGTTATCATTCTCTATTCGTCCTTTCTATAACAATAGCTTTTTTGTTTTTTTTGGGTTTTTTTTTGAAAAACCTTCAAATTTTCTGTTGACTCCAGCGCCCTGCATCTGTCGATTGAGATGATTGAGAACATCAAAGATATTGGTCATAGATGCCAAAATAAGAATAAATTCAGAATTTTCGAAGCAATCTGCATTATAATGTTGGTGCTCTTACAAAAACAGGGCTAATTCCATATGTGTGGCAAAAATGCATTTCGGCACCTTTCCCAGGGATAACCACCGAATGCTAGAATGGCATAGAAGTACCTCAAATTCAGAGGCTATTTCATTACACAGCTCTTTGAAAACGTGATGCTTCATAGCACTATTTTGCATGTAGTTCATATATTCCACTACAATTTTTAGTAATTCTGCCAGTTTTGGAGGCAAGGTCTTTATTGCCAATGCGTGCGTGTGCCTGTGCATAACAATGATGTGTGGTGCATCAGCTTTTCACCAGCACCTCCAAAACCAGTTTCATCCCAGCATAACTGGAGCTCCAAACAAACTGAAGGAACCATATACCATGAATGATCATTGTCTGTGAAGATGTCATCCACAAGTTTCTTCAGGTCAGCTGCTTTAGTTGTTCTTGTAAGAGGCTAACAAAAAAAAAACCTTCCTTTATCATGTCATCTTTCACAGAGTGCACAAATACAACAAGCTGGTTTAGATTGGAAATGTTGGTGGTTTTGTTGAGTTGGAGGCTGAATTTTATTGGGCTTGAAATCAGATCTGCAACTACTTAAGCCAAGATGTCATCACTCATATTGTCTATTCTGCTGCTGATGGTGTTATTTGAAAGAGAAATTTGGGTTAACTTATCTTCAGCAGCTTTTATCAGTATGATATTCACCATCTTCAACATGACTGATTTTACAAAAGTGTTTCACCAATGGTGCATACTTTGTCCTGCTTTATGATCAGGTATGTAACTTCGTACAATGATGTGAAGATTGGGTTGTTGGTGAGTACAAAGCTGAGAACAGCTTTTCATCGAATCTCGCTCTCTTCATCTTGAATTCAGCAAACGTTGTGTTCTTGTATTTCCCATCTGCATGCATCTTTAGGAAATGTTCCCTTAGTTTTGCCTAGACTAGAATTGCTTAACTTGGCATTGCAAATCCTGCAGTGAGGACGCTGACTCCCATTATGTTCTGTTATTCATGTAAGATCGGGGGGGCAGGAAGTCACAAATGGTGTACAATCACTACAGTCACAAGTCTACTAGTGAGTACACCAGGTTCCCTGCAACACAGTCATCAAGGGACCAAGTGATTTCGTGTGATCAGCTGAGACCCAATGATGCCCAAGCAGAACATGACGTCACAAATCATACAAGTGGGTGAACGAAACAGACACACACAGTGTGTATGTGTGTCTTGACCTTTGCCGAAACCCTGAGAATGACTCACTGAACCCCCTGACCAACTTCCCAAAATCTTAGCAGATACGAAATATTTTGGGAGAACTTTTTGCTCAGGCTGAGAGTTTTTTGGTACCTCATCATGCACACACATACACACATACTTTAATCATTTCACTTCAAGCAAGGCAATAATGCCACTAAGATGCAAAGGGTAGAGAAAGAAATGAGAAAACTTTAGAAGGAATCAGAAATCCAATCCAAAAGAAGAAACAAGGGATAAACCTCTACTCTTGTTCAAAAGATCAGGGAGGGGTCTGAACCGGGTGATGGGTGAACCTATCTACTCCTATTATAGTCTAGAAATATGAAAAAAAGAAGGCATCAGTTTAAACTGATCAGTTTATGTAATTGAAATGGTAAGAACAGAATAAAGCTTGGAGTGATTAAAGAAACCGCAGTTACATTTCAGAAATATTTTAAAAACCAATGCAACAAATGTCTACTACTAGTTTTCCAAGTACACCCCTCTGCTAAGACTGTTAACCAATCCCTATTGTGCAGATGCCTGCTCAGGCACATTAGTGTTTATTCCACACCCACATATATTGCAACTATGCTGAGTGGTCTTTAGTTACAGCTTCTGTGGGAGAGCACATAATCTGATGCGATCTACAGTTTTTTGAACTACACTTAAATCCTCGGTCACAATGACTTGTGACTTTGTATTAGCTCAACCATTGACAGCTTCCAAACAGTTTCCTCTATACAATTTCACTCACAGGGCTTACATCAATCCATGGTATGGTTTTCAGGCACTTTCCAAAAATGCTGCATATTGGGATCGACTCCTCAGGCCAATAACATACCTGACAAATCTACCATGATGAGATTTAGAAACCAGCTCTCATGGTCGGAAAGCAAATGTTCTAGCCATTTGGCTATGTAAACACACATGCCCATGCACACATCCCAACCACATACACAGACAAGATCAAGTAATATTGTTTTGTGGGTATATATTAATAGAGTCATTACTATATTGGAAACATGTTGATTGTTTATGCAAAATACTCTGGAAAAGACAAGATTCAACAAGGAGCAATCTCATCGGTAATCCAAATATTTATCAATAAAAATCATTGTCAAAAGTTAAATAATATTGGTTTCTTTATAATAAATAAAGCACTTACCATATTAGCTATTGTCAAATCTTTAAGCATTTGTTAACAGGTATTTATAGTTATTAATGTTATTGGTCTTGACCTGGCATCTTGCTTTCAGTCACTTTGCCACCACTATAATGTTGCTTCCATGTGTCTTTACTATAAATACTTTCATGGTAATTGTTCTGATGAACTTTGCTCTATTGTACCTAGACCATAGGAATTTAAACACAGTTCTAGATTGGCAACAAAGTCTCATCATGAAACAGTTGAAATGACTAAATGTAACCGTAAGTTATGTTATCTGTCAGGAGCTGGCATCTCGGCTTCAGTCAATTTCCCACTGCAATAGTGTAGCTTCCATGTGCCTTTCCTATAAATATTTTCACAGTAATTATTCAGATGAATTCTCCACTATGGCACCTAAACTATATGAATATAAACACAGTACAATATTGGCAGCAAGGTCTCATCATTTTACAGCTGAAATGGCTAGATGTAATGTAAGTTCTATGTTAACAGCTTCTTCTCTCACACTTCTTATTTGTGGATCTCTCTTCCAGCTTCTTGCTTCCCAGTCAAATTTGATGTTTAGAAATTTAAATGCAATGTCAATCGTTATCTTCTTAATTCTTGATCTTTTATTGTCCTCTCTCTTTAATAGTATATTTTCTCATATTCTCTAACACTTTGCATCTTCGTGGCTTTATTGTCTTGCCTAGAGTGAAATGATAAAAAAAAAGGTATGTTAATGAATAGGGCTCTAGTTTAGACATGAAATCCCTATACACTACCATACCTGTTAACAAATGCTTAGATCTCTTAAACATGTAGTGTATCTGGTTACTGGAATTTATGAAAATGAAAAACTGATAAATTTGATTCTTTCACAATTGAACATGAATTTCCAGTTTATTTTGATTGTGATAAATGACTGATTATTCAAATTTTAATGTTAAAACACCAATCGTGTCATTCTATGAAATGTAAACATTTAATGATGCTTTTTGATATAATGACTCAATGTCTGCTTATTTGTGGGACACTGGAAAGTTCACAGCCTCCCTCCCACAAATCTGATTTTTGATCATTTGGTGAGATTTTGTGAAGTTAGTCTGGCTGAGAACTTTTCAGCATTCCTTCATATATCTTGTTTTTAGTTACAATACAGAGAATACATACACCATGTTACTAATGCAATAAGATGAAATTTTACTTGTAAACCAAGGAAAATTTAAGACATTTGGCAGAAAATATTTCATATACACACCTTGATTGATAATTTTTTGGATTTAATTATATTTTCATTTTTGTAATGATTGCACTAATTTTCAAAAATTTTACCAAAATTGTTTCCACTGTGATGTGTCAGATAATGACTATTTGGCCAAGCATTAGTAATACTCAAACTTATAACTTGAGTAAATTGTTAATCCTTTTCAATGATAAATCATTTTAAAGGTATTAAAATTGCCTAGTAAAGAGCAATGTGTAATTTTCCACCTGTCATAAAAGAAACGTCAGTCTGCTTGTATCATTTGTGAATTCTTCACAATTCCAGAATTCTGGCCTTCAGTATTAAAACTAATCATGTTCATTATTTGTAAAACCACTTGGTAATTGTATAATACATAGATTTTCAACCTGTGTGCTGTGAAAGGATTGTAGGTGTGCTGTGTATAATGTAGACTCTCCCTTCAAGTTCGACATATGATGGTCAAGGAGCTCAGTTCCTAGGAACCGACAGCCAGACAACTTGCACATGTGATTTGATTATAGTGGTGAAGGCTTTGTTCAGAAGCACCCACACTTTTTGAAGGGCCGAATACGGACACCTACGTGCCACAAGGTCCCCAAACAACCCTCTGCAGGTTTTGAATTCAAAGTTGTCCTTCTCCTAGACCAGTTGCCATCCAAGGCTATAGAATCCAGTCTGTCTTGCTATTTACCCATAGCTGGAGGCGAGAAGAAGAGGATTCATACCTGACATAAGTGAATGTAATGGATTTGACTGGAATTCAAACTCGGCTCTCTGATTCCTCAATCCAAGCTTCTGTCCACTACTCCACCATGCCTCCTGCTTTATATATGTAATATATAAAATAATGTAACAAGCAAGCTTTTCTGCAATAAAGAATATTAAAAGAAAAAATCGATCATAGCTAGAATCTTTGAAAGATTTAAAAATATGCCAGTCTAAAATTCAACCTTGCAAAGAAGATATTTGAAAAAATGGTCAAGCTCAGATATCTCATTAAATGTTAAATTATAATAAACAGAAAAAATAAATATAAGTTTTTTTTTTAAGAATTTTAATTATCTTTTTATTATAAATTTTAATAAATTGTTTTCTTTGTGTTAATAAATGAATCATAAAAAGTCTAGTCTTTTTTTTTTTAAATCATAATTTAAGTGTGCCACAGAAGTTTATCTTTAGGTTCACATGTGCCATGAGATAAAAAGGTCGAAAAACATTGGTATAATATCTAATGAGAAAGTTGTCTATTTTGTGATAAAACTTTTTCACTTGTTGCATGAATAGGATTGACAGGGATTTTTGTCAGGTGAAAGTTGAATTGACGACAAGGCGTTCATTAATGATTCTATATTGCAGCACTCATTATTCAAATATCAGATTGTTTCCATTAATGAAAACAATATATTTGCTGAGGAAAAATTTTAATCACAATGTTTTTTTTTTGTTTTTTCATTTTCTCATTTGACAGCATTCATGGCCAAAGTTGTCTATTCTGCAAACCCTGTGCGAGACTGTTCATAACAAATTCCCCAACCTCGGCTGATTGTGCCCTCTCCTATCATCCTAATTTCACAGCCATCCATTTACCATCACTGCCTTCTTGAACTGTACTCCATTGGATTTGATAGGAGAGATGATGATGATGATGATGATGATGATGATGACAACAACAACCCAGACTTTTTTTAAAAAAATATTTAACTTCCTCAGGGATCAGTAACCTCTGTTTTATAATTGTTAGTGATTTTTTTTTTTTTTCTCATTTCTCTCCCCCATTGCATTTCTTATGCTGCTCAACAATGAGAGAGACAGTTGATACTCGAAGACTGTTGTTAATCCATAATTTCTTGTTTTACACCATTACATTTTTATGACAATAATTCTATTCCATTATATATATATATATATATATATATACACAGATTCACACACTATAAAGCAGTGGTCCTCATGTTCCAAATGTGTAGTTGTAATCATGATCACAAATCCTATAAGCCCTAGGGTTGTAGGGGAACCACATCTATTGCAGCCATAGCAGCAGTGGTGTTTCATGGGCAAGACAACTTGATGGAGCCCAACCCTTTCAAGGCTGGTTTGAATTCAGTTTTCCTTCTCATTGCCAACCAAGGCTGTAGGGCCCTATCTGTCCTGCTATTTACCAACAGCTGGGGGAATACCAAGGTTATTAGCATGTAAGTGAATGTAATGGACTCAACTGGAATTCGAACTCGGCTCTCCAATTCCTCAATCCGAGCCACTATCCATTTACTCCATCATGCAACCTAAGCAGTTAGATAAATCCTTTTCAAGGTATTTATTTTATGACTGTAAGTTTTATTGGATGCTAAATTTTTGAAATGTCATATTCATAAGGTAAGATATAAACAATAGCAGCCAGACCAGAAAACATCCTGAATTTAAATTGATTTATTAGCAAAAATCATAACAAACCCACTGGATATGTAAAAATATTTTAATGGTTACTTTAAAAAATATTTTAATGGTTACTTTTAAAATATTTTAATGGTTACTTTAAAATTATTTTAATGATTACTTTAAAAAGCCAAGAGGAAATGTTTAGGTTTTGCTAAATAAAAATCTACATGTATAAAATGTTAAAATCTACATGTTTAATTCATCTAGTGGAATAAATGTGGGTTTACTTTTTTTCTTTTTTTTTTTTAAATTCTTGCTTGCCCTTGATCCCTGATATTGTTCTTGGAAAATAACAAGCAGAACTGTTTGAGAATTCCAGACATTCTAAAAATAGAAAGATGATTTCCAATTCCCAACTAGAGAAAAAGAAAAAAAAAAGATTGCATTGTGTTTATAGAATCAATATTCTTGTATGAATTGTCAAATAGAGTTCTAATAGCAATTTTTAGATTAAATCTATAAAACATCCTGTATTTGTAAGTTTGATACCAATGGTTCCTGATGTCATATACAAAAGCATTTCCCCTGTGTTGCTATGACAACATATACCTGCATGAGTTGATGCTACCATTTACATTCAGAAGTCAATATTTCCATGACATTTTCTAAAGTTCTCAGATGAATAGTTTTCATTATTTACACTCTAACCATTGTTCATCTTTGTCACGCCATTTCAGCTGTTGTGTCATCTAGCCTTGTTCAGGTGTTTATTGATCCAGGTAACCTTTGGAATAACAGCCTAGTAGATTAAAGTGTTGGTTTATGAATTTAGTGACATAGTAATTGTGAGTTCAATCCCTGGGCCTGATAGTATGGACTTAGATTGAATAAAAACAGTTCAAGAAATAACCGAGCAGTACTAAACACAAAACAAGATATCCCTATACATGTACAGCAGGATGAAAACAATCAACCCCTTGTAGATTAAGTAAAGGGCTTAGTTCCAAATTCCTTGTAAGTTACCCAGATCAACAGACAGTTGATAAAACCTGGAAGGCACAACAGCCAAAATATCAGGATAATAACAGCAAAAAATGACACCATGAGTTCATATGTAAATCATAAGTTTTCAAGTAATGAATTTTTGTCTATATTTCTGAGATGAGGTATTGTAACTTTTTACACTATTTACATTGTTCAGACTGTCGTCCTCATCTTTGCTGCCATATTCATGACCTTTTGGCCGTTGTATGCTCTGGCCTTCTTCAAGTGATTGGAATTTCAAACCAAACCCTTTATTTTATCTGTCCTTGTTCTAGTTCCACATGCTATGCCTCTTCCAGATATCTCAGTTTCAGTTATTTCCCTTTAATAACTCAACTCTCCATGGACCAGTGGATAAAAGCATTGGTTGAAGTAATCCAGTGACTTGACCCAAAGAGTTGTGAGTTCAATACTTGGTCACAACAGAGGTGAACAAAAACTTGGAGAGTTGAGTTACTAAAAAGAATTAACTGAAAATAAGATATCTGGATGAGGCATAGCACGCGGAACTAGAATAATCAAACCTGTTGAACAAAATAAAGGGTTTGGTTTGAAATTCCAATCACCTGAAAAGGCTGACAACAGCTGAAATGTCATAAATATGACAACAAAGATGAGGACAATATTCTGTTGTATCCTTAAAGAGGTTACAAACAGGCAAAGGTAGTACTCAAGTGAAAGGAACAGCAACATGTGCATAGATAAAAGAGAAGCTTATTGTAAAAGACGGAATCAAGTAGCAGGCTAGTAATTCCCAAAGCAAGTCGTCAGATATATCCTGTGCTCATTATATATATCTAACTGATATAGTCAGTCCACAATAGGCGATAGGGAGAGTAGGACATTCCATTACAATACATTCTGAACAATGTAAATAGTGTAATGAATTTTTATATTTAAAAAGGAAACCTAATGATTATTTATAAACTGCAATCCAAGCTATTTTCCTTTTAATAAACAGAGATGTTTTTTTAAAGTCACCAAACAAGTGAAGCAGAGTTTTTTTTAATATGCTTCCATAGGGTTATTAATCCATTATTGCAGTTTAGAAAAAAAAAAATAATAATAGACTAATGATTACAGGCAACTCAAAAATCAACTTTCTATTGTTGAGATGTTAAATAATCTCCAAATGAACATAATAGCATTTACTTTCATTTAACATAATTGCATATATGAATTGTGAATGAAATAACCTTGTTAAATATAAGAACAGAATGTTATGATGATCTAATGATATTCAAAATGTGCATTTTAAATGCATAGACTTTATAAACCTAAAGCTGACAGCAGTAGGTTTCAACACCATAAAAAAGCTAATCAGTATCTGTCTATGTTTCTGAGATGAGGTATTATGTACGCTATTTACATTATTCAGACTATTGTCCTCATCTTTGTTGCCATATTTATTACAACGCTTCAGCCTTTCAGTATCTGTCTATATTTCTGAGATGAGGTATTATGTACACTATTTACATTATTCGGACTATTGTCCTCATCTTTGTCGCCATATTTATTACAATATTTTGGCCGTTGTATGCTCCAGCCTTCTTCAGGTGGTTGGAATGTCAAACTGAATCCTTTATTTTGCTCACTGGGGTAGACTGTTCTAGTTCCACGTGCCATGTTTAATGGATGTCAGTTATCAGTTATCTCCTGTTAATTTCCCTCTCCAAGTTCTCCACTGCCTTAACTAAGTATTGAACTCACACTCTTTGGGTCCTGTCACTGGATCCTGTCATCCAAATAAAGTATACTATTCCAATATTTTCTGTGAGTCCCTCTACTGCAGTAAATTGTATTCCCTCAGTTGTCATTGCACAAAAAGGGGTCAAGTGCATAAGATAACAAAAGTCCAAGTAGGAATTGCTCAAAGTTAGAAATGAATTTTATACAGCAAATTTAAGCCTTCAAATAGTTTTTAGATAATTTTGTGTGAGTGTGTGATCTGAATTAAGAAAAAAAGGTTAGAGTTTTATAATCCTCATGACTTTGCAAAAAAAAAAAAAAAAAGAATGCACAAAATGGTTCTGTCTGTAATGAATGATTTTTTTTGGATTTTTTTTAATCTCAGATGTTAACAAAACTGAGTGAAACTATTTGCATTTCCCCCATTCTTACATATTTGTCTATAAACTTCATTGCATCTACCACAGAATTAAATGTGTTAATGCCAAGTAGCATAAAAAATATTGCTTGGATTTAACTAAGCAGTCCAATTTGTGAAAGGCAGAGTTCAGTATTGCAGAATTGGCCTGACTATAATTGACTTAATATCATTCAAATCAAAGTATTATGGTTGTTGTTATTAAGAGGAAGATTGAGATTTCTAGAAATCTGAAGATAACTTTATTTTTTATACAATAAATTTGAAGATCACTTGATTTTTTTTTTTTTTCCAAATTTGTTGGTTTGATAAGACAAAGGCAGGATTGGATAACTTTTAAATACTGCACACAAAATTTTACTCTAACCTTTATAAAAAAAAAGGAAAAAGAAGATAATGTCAAAACTGAGTTTTAAGATCCATTCCATTCTTCTCCCTCTTGTACACACACACACGGCTCAACCAAAAATGGATTTAAAAAAAAAGACACAATTCTTGGGAAGTGGATTAAGTTGAAAACTTTTCAGCACACACACACACACACACACACACATACATGCCGCAGAGGAAGGTCATGAAATCAAATGTGTGGGTCACTTCATGGAAAGTTGAGATCCACCTTAAACACATTCAGACCACTGGCACTTTCTTCTACTCTGATTATATATATCTTTTAAAAAGAAGAGAGAACGTTTTTGGCTATGAGGTGGGGTTTGTTTTTTTTTAATATATATTATACTTTATTTTGCATATTTTTGCTACACACGTTTCTGGTCTCATGATCTTCATCAAGCAAAGAGTGGATATTTCCACATATTGTTAAAAGGAATTAATTTTCCTTATGTTTTTTGATGTTTAACCATTGTCTTTTTTGTGTAGTAGTAACCCAGATGTTTCTTCTTGGACTGGAATGCCTTTTAATATGTGGAAATTCTCTTTCTCTGATAAAGGTTGTGAGACTGGAAATATGTGTAGCAAAAATTTGCAAAATAAAGTACAGTATATATTTTTAAAAA